TTGTATCACTGTGATAAGCAGCAACAATCAGAAGGCAGAGCACTGATCCCTAGTATTCAAAGGATAGGATCCATTTTGCCCACTCTGGCTCCCAGAAGTTGTGTGCAGGCTGCTCCCAGAACATATGCACAGCTGCCAGCCCTGGGCTGAGGGGTGAGGGGTGAGTGGCTGCTACTGTACTAACAGCTGAATGGAACAAAAACTGGCCTCAGTGCTCTCAAGCTAGTGCCCTCTCTCTTTCCTCAACTTTAGAGACCAAATTCTTGAAAACCCTATCCAAAGTTGCCTTCCCCAGTCACTCCTCCCACTCCCTCCTTGATACACTTCAATCTGCTTCATCACTCTCCCCAGTTTTGCTATGGTCACCAGCGGCCTTGCATTTTGCTAGAGAGCAGACGCAGTGCAAGCAAAAGAAATCTCAGGACCCCCAAATCACTAAGCCAACGGAAAAGTCAAACCTGCCTCCCATTTTATTCCTAAATAAGATAGCTAAAAAGATAAAAGAAGCACATACCTTCCCACCAATTTGTCCACAAGGAAATTCCTTGTGGGCCTCAAGATCTTGACCCCAGAACAGTTCCGTCAAATTTCACCCTGACAATGTAAACTGACAGCTTATCTTCACAGGTGTGGGACAGAAAAATCATTCCTCTGCTCACCTGAGACAAATACATATCTGATTGCTTTCTCTGCCCTATTGTTTTATGTAAAAATGCAGATTCACTGGGCCAGAAGAAATTGTGCTGATCAAGGACTCAAAAGAATGCAACCTTTTGTCTCTTGTCTACCAATGACCTGGAAGCCACCCACTCCCCACCTGAAGCTGTCCCACCTAGCCAGACAGAACCAATGTATATCTTACATATACTGATTGATATCTCGTGTCTCCCTAAAATGAATAAAAGCAAGCTGTACCCCGACCACCCTGGTAACATGTCAGACCTCCTGAGGCTGCATCCTTACCCATGGCAAAATAAATGTTCTAAATTGGTTGAGATCTGTTTCAGATATTTTGAGTTCATCATGCATTTCAATCTTCACCTAAATTCACCCCTCAGTTGTAACTGATGACACTGACCACTGCCTCCGTCTCTCTGCTTTTGTTATCCACAGCTCCAGGACAAGCCTTCTCTCCTCTCTCCACACTCTGTCTCTCTCTAGTGCTCTCATTCAGTCCCATTGATTCACTGCCACCTAGATAAAGACAATTCACAAACTCTCATCTCCAGCCCAGACCTTCTCATTAAACTCCAGCCTTACTGGTGCAAATGCCTCTTTGACATCTCTTCACAGATATCTAAGAGGCAATGCACACTGACCTTATGCAGACCTGTATTTTTAACATCTACCCTCCCCCGGAACCTAGCCCTCATCACCCAAAATATCTTCAAGTACACTTGTCCCCCCTTATCCACGGGGAATATGTTCTAAGGCCCCAGCGGATACGTGCAATTACAGATAGTACCAAACCTTATATATACTATGTTTCTTACTATACATACATACGTTCCCACAATACAATTTACAAATTAGGCACAGTAAGAGATTCACAACAAGAACTAATAATAAAATAGAACAATTATAACAATGGACTGTAATGAAAGTTATGTGAATGTGTTCTCTATTCTCTCACAGTTTTTATTTTGCTGTACTCATCCTTCTTCCTGTGATGAAGAAGGGACAAAGTAAGATGCATAAGCTTTCATCCCACTACTCAGAACAGTGTGTCATTTAAAACTTCTGAATTGCTTATTTCTGGAATTTTTCATTAAATATTTTCAGACTGCAGCTGACCACAGGTAAATGAAACCGCAGAAAGGGGCTGACTTACAATTTCAGTGACTTCTTGCTGCAGTTACACAAGAAAGAAACCAAGCCGTACCTCTGGCCCCTCTCCCTTTGCTTCTCACATCCAATACGACATTAAAACCTGTTGACTGCAAATCCCAAGTAGCCCTTAAATACGTTCTTTTCTCACATTCACCTTCACCCCTCCTCTTGTGCAAGCTACCAGCAGATCTAGCCCAAACTGCTGCAAGACCCTCCTAACTATGTCTCTTCATCTACTGCAGCCCCTCTGATCAGACGGAAGCCAGTGATGGTTACAAAATGCAAATCCAATACTGCCGTAAAGAAGATGCCTCAGTGCAGGACCATGGCTTGACTCCTTACCGTTAGCCTTGTCTCTTACCACACAGCCGCACATATACTCACCTGTTCCTGAGTCCTTCCGGTCCCCCATTTCCTTCCACACAAACTCTTATTGCGGAATTTTGGGCCTATGCTCTTGCCTCTTCCTGAAAAGCTCTTATCCCACCCTTTTCAACATCTACACATTCCTTCTACAGAGCCAAGTGCCACCTGCTTGTGGATTCCGACCTCCCTGAATAGCTCAACTCTCCCCTTTCAGGGCTCTCCTAGTACCTAGACCCTCTCTTCTCTAGTTCTCTGTTGCAACTTTATTTGTAAAACTATTTGATTGCATCATAAGAACAGAGGCTGAGTCTGTCTTGCTCACAACTGTATCCTCCATTACCAGCTCGATGTCTGCGAATATCAACAGTTTTAAGTGCAGTTAACATTTATTGATATATGAGCCAGCTATTGTTCCAAGTCCTTTGCACAGATTTTTCTCATTTGTACCTCACGACAACCCTGTAAGGAAAGGGAATTATTCTTCCTTCTTTAGAGAGAAGTAACTTGATGGTCCTTTAGCTCGTAAGAGACAGAGTTGGATTTCAACCCAAGCAGGCTAACTCTAGAGTTTATGTACTGACTACTCAATACTGAACATACTTGTTGAATGAATGAATGAACAGTAAATAAACATCTCTCCTGGATATTTAGGTAACATCTTATATAGAAGTAGAGATGAGGCTTTAGTGCTCCCTAAAGTGCTCTCCAGCTCCAGGATTTCTGACTAGTCATGAGAAGGAAAAGGGACAAAGCTGGTCCTAACCCTCTGTCTGAATTTCCAAACTTGCCAGAGCACAAGCAGCCATGAAGGTCCAGCCTCATCTCTCTAAAGGGCAATGCCAGCCACTCCTTCCACATCTCCACCTCCGACTTAGCCAAGGGTATTTGAATGTCTCCCTCATTTCCTATGCATCTGTCTTGCCAGTTCTGCTATCTGGAATGCCCCTCTATTGCTATTTCCCCAAGTCCTGCCCATCTTTCAAAGTCTAGCGCAAGTGTGTCATTTACCCCAGAGAGGTTCTTGCTATCCAGTCCATTTCTTTCAATCCTATCTCTTCTAGTAATAATAGAAGTAGGCCAGGCATGATGGCTCATGCCTGTAAGGAGGCTGAGGCTGGTGGTTACTTGAGGTCAGGAGTTCAAGACCAGCCAAGCCAACATGGTGAAACCCCATCTCCACTAAAAATACAAAAATTAGCTGGGTATGGTAGTGCATGCCTATAATCCCAGCTACTCAGGAGGCTGAGGCAGGAGGATCACTTGAATCCAGGAGGCAGAGGTTGCAGTGAGCTGAGATCATGCCACTGCACTCCAGACTGGGTAACAGAGCAAAACTTCATCTCAATAATAATAAAAGTAATACCAAAACCCAAAATATAAGTTTGAACAACAAACAGGTATTGGAAACACCTAGAGGCTACTGGAAGATGTGACATGACAGTGATAGAAAGTAATGCTCTTTTAAAAAAAATTAAAAGGTATTAGAGGAAGAACAAAAAAACAAGATGGCGACCACTTACAAAGAAGTTCCTCAATGTCTATCCCATTATAAAAATATTCCTAAGGTTGTGGGCTTCAGATGGGCAGTGGGCTACGCAGGAAGCAGCTTCTGCCTAGCTGGTGAGTTCCTGAAAGTAAGGAAGTGAAGAGACAGAAACAGGGGCGTGGAGCCCTCCTAGAGAAGGAAAGACACACACTCCACTGGACACTGCTGAGAAGGTATTTCTGATCTGTTCCAGAACCCACCCCATGCCCACAACTCCTAGGGAAGTGTGCAGACTATACACTGTTGTAAAACCACCCAGAGCGCAGATGTTTATTCAGAAAAAGGCAAATATTGGTGGTTGTGAGATGAGTGGGTTGCAGCCCTATTGTGCAATTTTTGATGTACGTGTAATACACTTTTTCCCACGAATACAATCTATTAACAGAATCCTGTGGCAAGACTATTTCTTAAGTTTCCATTAGTATTGAGAAATCAGCATGTGCTACCTGAAAATAACTCAGGAACCTATTCATCCAGGGGAATTTATGAAATAATACATGAAATCTAGTGCCATATTACACATAATCATACAGTGACAATGTCTTACAGTAGTTGTATAGCATTTGACAGTTCATAAAGTGCTCTCATGTGTATTGCTTCCTTCACTTTTTACAACACTTCCCACTCTTCGCTACATGTTCTGGGCTCTGCTGTCTCTCATGCGAGCCTCCAAATAGGACCTCGCAGCAGCAGGAACAGCTGAACTCGATATTCCTGGGCACTAGATACCTTCATCAGCAAAGACTAATTTAAAGGGTTTAAAAAAAAAATACATCAGCAGGGCGCAGTGGCTCATACCTGTAATCCCAGCACTTTGGGAGGCTGAGGCAGGTGGATCATGAGGTCAGGAGTTCGAGACCAGCCTGGCCAACATAATGAAACCCCGTCTACTAAAAATACAAAAATAAGCTGAATTTGGTGGCGCACGCCTGTAATCCTAGCTACTCAGGAGGCTGAGACAGTATAATCACTTGAACCTGGGAGGCAGAGCTTGCAGTGAGCTGAAATTGCACCACTGCACTCCAGAGCGAGACTCTGTCTCAGAAAAAAATAATAATAATAAATAAAATAAAATAAATACATCATCAGGTTGGGTCATGGAATCACTGTCTTCTCCTTCTCCAGTGAGGAATCGGGAACTCGGGAAGATCAAGGGCCTTAACTGGTAGCTTAGATGTGCTCCTAGTAGATACATTTTACATTAGAGCTCACACTGCGGTCCTTCTCTTACTCCATATCTGCACAGAAGAAATTTTACCTGAGAGTTCATCAGGCGAATCGTAGTTTTTGTGCCCACATCTTGTTGGAAGTTGGCTGTGGGTGCCCCATTAAACCTCAGGACTGCATCATGATCATCTATAAACCACAAAGAAACAGAAAAGAGGTGATGAGCACTGGCAATACGCAGAAAAAGAAAAAGGCAGGAGGCAGGGGAGGGAGCAAGGGAATAATGCTTCCCAATCTTTACCCCATCATGATCCACAGGGAAAAATGGCAGTATTTACATGGTGCTCAGGTAAAGCCACTAAGCCGAGATGACCACCTGCCTGCCAGCCACCATTAGGGCTGAAGGGATCCGTAGAGTGGCATTCCTGAAACCCATGCAAAGACACTCATTTCTGCCTGGGCACAGCAGAAACGTGAACAAAGCCAGTGTGCTACTTAGAGTGGAATAGCTACTCCAGTGATCAAAGCAACACACCAAATATTCTCTTGGTATCATCAGTAGATTTTATTTCTATCTCTGTCAGAAACGTGAAAATACTACCATATGTTCAGTGCTTCCCATAAGTGCAAAGAACACCAATGTACTCTGAAAAGCATGCAGTGCTCAGCAAATGGGCAGGATTTAACTATGACATCCAAGACAACCCCCAGGTGTTCCATTTAGGCCCAGGGAAGAGTCACAAGACCTGGCGTGGTAGAAATGGAAGAGGAGGTCACGGAGCTAAACTGAATTTCTTTCTTTTTCTCTCTCTCTCTTTCTTTCTTTCTGCCATAGTCAGAAACAATGTTCTAAATCCAGTCAAAATCAAACAAACCACCTTGAAAACCCTAAAAGCTTCCTGGGCTCTGGCTCCTTGTCTTTGCAACTGTCTAAGCAGTGTTTGGAAGACTTGAGAAAGCTTCTCTATCCACCATTGACCAAACTGGTAGAGGAGAGAACTGAAGACTTTAAGGAGCCATCCCAACCCTATGATCCTGAGAGCTTCTTTCAAACTGACCTGGTCAAGCAAGTGTGCGCTCATCACTGAAATCTGTACTGGATCTGGGGGTCAGCTGAATCCTCTATTGTTCTATTTGGGTTGTTTTGGGTCATTCTTTATCCACATAGATAGGATTTGGAGAAGTGAGGGCATTTGGCTCAATATAAGATGATTTAGAAAGAGGCTGTGCAGCCCAGGCACAGTGACTCATCGCCTGTAATCCCATCACTTTGTGATGCCGAAGCAGGTGAATCACAAGGTCAGGAGTTCAAGACCAGCCTAGCCAACATGGTGAAACCTCGTCTCTACTAAAAATACAAAACTTAGCCAGGCATGGTGGCGTGCGCCTGTAGTTCCAGCTACCCAGGAGCCTGAGGCAGGACAATTGCTTGAACCCAGGAGGTAGAGGTTGCAGTGAGCCAAGATTGCACCACTGCACTCTAGCCTGGGCAACAGAGCAAAACTCTATCTCAGGAAAAGCAAAAAAAAAAAAAAAAAAAGAGAGAGAGAAAAGAAAGAGGATGTCCACAGAATTAAGGATGAAATCCTCTCAATTTCAGTTCCAGTGTATGTACTAAACCTCAGGAATGCAGCAATCTCATTCATGAAAACACCATCACCCTATCCTCATTCATAGGGCAAAATTTCATCAAAATGGTTTGAAAATTACCTGAAAAGTACATAGTCCAAACTGTTATCATCTCACAGGGCAGGTACACTGAAGTGCACTTTGGGCAGGAGATATATCTTTACACAACTCAGAATCGCAAGACATTTTGTCAGAATCAGTCACTGGTTTGACAGGAATTAGTATGAGAAACACAGGTCCATCAGAAACATCACTTAGCTTTCCCATTGAACAGATGAATAAATTACCGGTGAGAATCCCAGTAGAAAGGAGATGAGAAGCTCAAATGGAGCAACTGAGAGATTCATAAGGGGACTATTTACCAACTTGAGGTACAGTCTAAAGAAATCAACATGGAATAGGCTAAAGCCCCCAGGGCTGATGACCGCAGAGAGTCAGGACTACCCCAGGTCTACTGTGGGATGATGAGCAGAGACCCTGAGCTGAGGAGGGACGCCTGTCGGGAGTTGTTGCCTTTATGAGAGGAACACAGCTATTGCCAACCTCCAGCCAGCAAGAATGAGCCTGAGGGAGTCAATATTCCAGCCTTGCTCTGCTCCTTCCCTTGGATCTCATAGTCCTGAAAGAAAAAGGGAGAGAGCAGAACCAAGACTGGGAGGGCCTCCTGGCAGAATCTGAGACCTTCAGTCAAGAGAAAGACACAGCTGAGACCCAAAGGATAGCCAGGCATGAGAAGCGTTCAATCAGTATTTGTTGAATGAACAAAACAATTCTCCTTGCTTCTTGCCTTTGCCTTAATTCAGAATACCCTTCTCTTTTTCTTTAGGAAAGCTGATAGATAAGAATATAAGAAACTTTTTGACATAACAGAAGAGTAATCACATCAAATTTTATTATGAAGCTACAGTTATTATGAGGCACAACAGCAGAGGGCCCAAGAGTGGGGTGTTTGAAGCAAGCCCTCTGCTTTCATACCCCAGTCTGCTATTCGCCAGCTGCGGAACCACTGGAGCCTCCACATTTAGCTCTGCAGCAAAATGGGACCAAAAAACTTACCAACCTCACAGAATTTCTGGGAGGATTAAAAGAGCAAGGCATGTTAGGAGCACAGCAGACGTGTGATAAGCATCACTTCTACGGATGACAGTGTTTTAAAATTATGCTACTGTTTGATATGAAAATTCCAGCAAATCTAAGCGACTTAACATGTCTGAGTAAACTATCAGAAATCATTGAAAGTGCCTGAGCCCACCACTGGCTGGTCTGTGAGACTGCTAGAGGCAGAGTATGTTATTACACTCTCTCTGATAAAAAATCTTGCTATGGACGAAAAAAGAGTCATAAAATGTCTCTTACTCGCGTCTTCTAGCCTCACTTCTGGGGATATTTCCCTGTTGAATGTCAATAGTGGTCACCTAAGGTATCTGCAGAAAACCCTTGTTAGCAATGTTATTTGTAAAAGCAAATCATTTGAAATAATGCGATCCATTCAATATTTGGGAATAGACTCAACAAATTCCACATGCAGTAGGATGTGCAGGGCTGGCACGCTGCCTGCGACTCAGAGGCTTCCATGAAGGGCCTTGCCCTTCCCCTTCCCCTTAGTGTTCTAAGCTCTTATTTTGTATTGTTGATGAATCCATGAATAAATAAAAAATATATGAATGAATGTCTTAAAATATTTGTTAGACAAAATGCCAAGAGGATATATACCCTGTAACAGCAGAATATTTGAAGTCTAACATGCAATTTTTATTACATCTCAGGATCAAAGTCCTTCCGTGGAAATCCTTATTGTGAAGGTGAAACTGCAGTCTATAGAAAAATCGTATTTTTATTAATGTTTACTTAAATCACTCCAAACCTTTAAGGAAGGCATAAAATTAAAGGTGTAGTTCCAATCCACAGAGGTAACAGGCCCTGTCTCAAACTTCAGTACAATTTCAGCCAGGCAGGTAATCTTAACTTGACATGCAGAAGAAGGATCAGCTAATACCTAAGAAACCCCAAACATTACCTTTATGCAGCAAAAACAGAGAAGAAAGAAAGAAATTTGCTCCATTATGGATGAACAGAAACCAATCACATTTAGTTTCTTGACAACAAAGTCCAAGAAAAACCAAAAAGGCAGAAGCAAAAGTCGAGGTGGGGCTGGCCGGCGAGCGGCTTTTATGAGTTAGTACTGCCTGTTTGGGGAGGTAGAAACTGTGATCTCACCATTTCTTTCTGCTCTAGAGAATCCAGTTTGGACCTACTTTTCTTCTTTGAGAGCCTGTGCTTGGTTTTAGACCGTTTTTCCTGGCAGTCAACTGAAGGAAATAAAAAAGGAGACATATGACCTCACCTGCTCCAGTACCTCCAGCCTGACGGAGGAGCAAAGCTTCCTGTGCTTTGCTTTCTCTAGCTGATTCATTTCAAAATAATGGAAAACACATTCAGCATAAGAGAAATAAGGCTCCCTGTTACACAGGTTGACAAATACAGAGAGAGTTTCTGTCTCAATTCACTACAAAGAATTTCAAGAAGAGCAAATTAATATATTGTGACCAGTGATTCTGAAACCTTTTTGGGTCACCGATCCCTTGGAGAATAAACTTCAATCTACAAACTCCCTTAGTGGAAAAATGCACCAACACACTTATACACATACACACACATAATGCACACCGAATCCACAGATATTTTGCATGCAATTGCAGGGATTCATGACCCTCTGAAGTTGGTCCACAGCCTTCAGTTAAGAATTACTAACAGAATTAAACCTTTTCAAAGAGAAAAGCTGAAAACTACCCAGGTAGCTGAGGCCAAAACAGTCCTGCATTAATCAGGTAAAACAACAGAATTTCAGAACCCGGAAATAGGTAGCGGTCTATGCCTCAGAAAGGTCAATTGTAGGCTTTTGATTATTGGTAGCGGCAGAACTCTCTATTCAAATGAAATCTTCTGCAGAATACCGAAATTTAAAACAGATCAAAATAAAACCATTCTGTTCCTGACACAAAGAAACAATAAGTGTTCGAGGTGACAGATATTCTAATGACCCTGATTGGATCATTATACATTGAATACATGTATCAAAGTATCCCTATAAATATATATAATTATTATATATCAACTAAAAATAGAAGGAAACAATAATGAAGCTCTTCTAATTGATAAAGATGCCAGGGTGTAGAGCATCATCTGTTCAATTCCCTCTGTGTCACTTGTGACTCTGAAAGGGACACTGCCCTGGGCCCACTTCACCGGTCCACTGAGCCAGACTTAAGCCACTTGTCTCCAACGCCATCAATATGCCCAGCCAGTCCCAATCAGTACTGCCATTCACAGAACAACCTTAACACCCTAGAACATACCTATTTCTCTGCCTAGTTGGGAGGACTTCAGAGATCCTGCTGATGAGACAACAGCACACCTGCCCCAAGGCCCAGCCTTGGTCCTAATGCTCTCCTTGGGCAGGTAACCCTCCCATTCAGAGGTATTGAAGGGAAAATCTGTGGCCTCTACCATGGATACGTTCACGTGGTCCCGGAGGTGGCAGAGCAGGGCCTCTGCACTGAACTTGATGCCGGGTCCTGGCCCCTTGTAGGACACTCTGTACTTGTTCATGTTTAGGTAATTCCTCCAGATCTTTTGCAGCCTAGGGATAAGGTTTTTGGAAGAGCTGTCCTTGTTCCACACCTGGAAGGAGGCGTCTGCTTTGGCCTTGGCTGGGCCTCTGAAACTGCCAAGGGTCTGACTGCCCTTGTGGGGGTCCTGGGTGCTGCTTGAGGATACAGACTGGGAATCAGACCTCATGGCCAATTTCCCCAGACTCTTCAGCACCTGGATTTCCTTGGTTTGCAATTTAAGGGAATCATAGTAACTCCCTTTCTTCTTTTCCTTCCACACACAGATGATAGCAAACAGAAGAAAGACCAGGACACAGCAGCTGAACTTTTTCTTCAAGTTGGTGTGAATCATAATGAAGATGTGTTCAGGGAAGCCACTTTGTTCCGAACAGGAAAACACGCCTAAAAAAAGTGAAACAAGGAAAAAAACAAAATGATGTAAAGAAAAACCCAACGTGGCATGAGGTGGAGCAATGGGTTGAGCAATCGATTTCAGGTGAGGTGAATTCCAGCCCTGATCTACCTCCTATCCACCTATGCACCCTGTTCAGCAACTCTCGACAAAAGTCAGCCTCCATTTGGGCTTTGAATGTAGACAGCAGTCCCTCAGACACTCCCTTCTTTTTCAGCCATGAACGCTTTGTATGTCCTCCCACCATTACTTTTTCTATACTGAATCTTAGTTTCTGGTTGCCTTGGTCTACCTCCCCGACTGCACTTTGTTTCTTGAAGTCAGAAACCACACTTTGCAAATCATTCGGTTCCTAGGTCCTTATCTGTTAAAGGAAACCATGCATGTTTGGGGGAAAAAAGAGAATAAAAAAGAGCAGGCTGACTGTTTTACATCACCAAACCTAAACTTTCTAAAATAGTAAGTGGCCCAACACCCTTACAACATAGCCAGACTTCTCGTTATAGACAATGCCATAGATTTTTGATGCATCTCCCTAAGGGCTGTGATGTTGGACTCCTGCATGAGAATATCAAGGCTTAGCTCCACCACAAAATATTCAGTTCCACGTACTACCCTGCAAGAAGAGCGCCACTGAGACAGGAAGCTGACTCACCTCACGATAGAGGTTAGGAAATATAGGTAAAAGAGCAGACATGTAGCCAACTAAGGAAATGAATACAAAGATTCATTAAGCATGCTAGATGTTATTTCACTTAACTTCAGCATAACCAGGGCCACCATGAGACGCAACTCCAGGGGCACCACGCATATCATAGTCTATTATGAAGGTCATCTCCTAACCCGTGCAGGGTTCATTTCATAGGTGTTATAATCTGCATTTCATGGATTAGCAACCTGAAGCTCTCAGAGGTAAGTGCTCGAGATCACAGAGCCAAGGAAATGGTTGCCTTGAGGTTCAAATCCAAACGCACTTGACTCCGCAACCCATGTCCTTGCCCCTACAACATGTACAGAACTGCAGAAAGTTCTGGACAACAGATTTCACTGAGCAAATAGAGACTGCATAGTCCCCTTTATTTCTGGGTAAACACCTACTTCGTTTTCTCAGAATTTATTGTGTAACTGAATGGAAACTGGAAGTACCTTGAACTCAAACAATGTCTGTATTTTTTGGAAAACATTACATTCTTTCCCCAATCACTGGGTTTATTTATCATAATACATCAAAGCAGTCACCTCAGGGGTTTTAGTAACGCACCAGGGGACTGAGGTCCCTTTCCATGGATCCTGTTCCTAAGGATATCAGTATAAGGTAGCGGGAATGCTGGATCGGGTATTCAGGAAACCTGGGTTCTTACCCCCATTCTTGGTGATCTTGGGCAGGTCAGCCAAAATTTCTGCCCCTGAGTTTTTTAGAATAATTATCTCTGTCTTGTGTGATTTGCAGTGTTAGGAGGACCAAACAAGGGGATGTCGTTAGTTGGATTTGAACTAGGTAAGCAAAAAGGCGCAGGCAGTATTCTGAATGGAGAGAGAAAAGCAGCTGCTCAGCACGGGGCCATGTGGAGGTGATTGAGGACAGTGAAGACGACAGCATGAAGCCACAGCCACGACTCAGCAGACTTGAGCTCCAGGGTCTTCCCTGGGAACTCCTTCATGAACTGACATCCAGCTCATTCCTGGAATCCACTGGTGATACCAAACAAAGCAGTGCTTCCACCAGCCCAGACCTCAGGAACCAGTGGCTCTGAGAACGACGGGCTTCTCCTTGGCTGCTGAAGTTGTGTAAATGATTAAATGTACACAGAGGAAGAAGAATTCAGAGATAAGATCAAGAAGTCAGGGATGGGAAGCTTGTTGTATTACCAGAAACTAAAGAATTCAATTTCTGCCTATGCCTAACACAGCTAATTACATGACCATATGACAGCTGAAGAGGAACTGAAGAGAAGAAGGAAGGTCGAATTTAGGGAGGGCCTACTACATGGTAGTCACTTTCCTTGAAATATCTTATTGAACCTTTATGACAACGCTATGATAGAGATATTGACAACCCTATTTTAGGAAATGAAAAAACTGAGGCTTAGCAAGGTTATGGGGTTTCTCCAGTGTCCGTAGCAAGTCAGTTCCAGAACCAGAATTCCAGCCCAGGTCTGTCTGACTCTAAAAGTTCATCATCTTTCCACCCAAGGACATGCATCTGTGATAAGGTGCAGTGAGACATCAGTGTGACCAAATGGGACTCAAGGTCACTAGAGAGGCAACTTGATCTGTCAGACAGTCTCAGACAAGCCACCATCGCCATCAGTCCTGCACCTGCCATCCCTGCTGTGCGCCGTGTTACCACTGGGACTTTTCGTATTAATAAGGTTTTACAGACGTGCTATACTCCTGTGAGATAAGCACAGCAGATTTTATGAGCTCCATTTATAGCTAAATATGCTGAGGTTTGAAAATACAAGTAATTTTCAAACCTTGCATGAGTGATTTGGAAATAGTAAACTTGGAACTTCACTTTGATATGTCTGAATGAAAGGAGATGGCAGGAAGGGCCTGATTCACTGTCTCAGGAGTGGAGGCTCAAGGAGCAGTGGCCCAGTACCTACTCTCCAAGGTGTGGTTTCCCAGAAAGGAAGAGTTCCTCCAAACAGCTGGGTCTAACATCAATCCTGCAACCATCAGATGGCCTCAGCCTTCACAGCCCACAGCCCGTCATGGCTTCTGCCTTCACATCCCACACCCCGTCATGGCCTCAGCCTTCACAGCCCGTACCCCGTCATGGCCTCGGGGCGCTCATCTGAAATCTCGTATCAGGGCTCATGTGGTCCCTTGACACCACCCTTGTGAAGGCTCCAAGTCCACCAGGTGGCTAGAGTTTCTGGACACAGGCTCTTAGAGCTACAAGACCCTTTCTCATCTCTCAAGTTGTTTGAAGAAGGCAGAGGCCAAAGAAGCTTTCTCTAAATGGCACAACCAAGGGAAAAAAATAGCAGACTTTTCTCTACAAATGTTTTGGAAATACACACCATGCTCTGAATTTTCCACTCACACCAGACTGTGTTCTTAAGCCTCCAGGTGTCTGTACTGCTGCGCTTTCTCTCCTTGTCCATGTGCTTATCAGTTCTGACAGCATCACCCTTCTGCTTCTGAAGGTGAGTGGAGGCCACCTCCCCTTCCACACTATCCCTGCTCTCCACTGCTGCCAACCAGTGCTTTGTAATGCTTGCTTTTCATGCCTGACTTTGCTGCTAAAGGGAAACACCTCCTGACATCATTTCTGAAACCCTGGTACCCAGCACAGTACCTGGACTAGAGTGAATACTGAATAAAAGATTATTGAACTGATGCAATCGTATCAGAGAATCTTTACAGTCATCCTGACGCTTCTAGAAGAAGAACACAACAACCTACATTATCACCTACAAAGAGCTGGCCAACACTGAACCGGCAGAAATGAATGCTCAGAGTAAGGAAATGCTGTCCTGACCCACTCATCACGACATACTCCGTACCAGTTGCATTCTCGGCATATAGTAAGTACTCAAAATGGTTGACTGAAATACAGAATAACTTAAATCTTACGGTTTATAGAAATGGACAAGCCATTTATCTATACCTCCCCCCCAACCAAACCCAAACTGAATCAGCAGTTAAAGAGGACCAAAAATATATATGCAAAAAGAAAACAGCAAAGCTGTAGCCAGATACTGAGATCCCAAGATTCCTTGCCAGCACATCTGCCACACCAGTTTTGACTCAAGAATGGACCCCTTTGCTAGCCCATGCCTCTGTGCATTCCTTACCTCTTCTGGCAAATCCCCCAGGAGCTACAGGCCCTCCAGGTCCTCAGAAATTAGTACTCTTCTCCATGCAAGGGAAGATTTATTGGGTCTGGAGGCCAAGGCCCGTTTTGCTCAGGATTATCAAAAATCATCAGCAAAGGCAAAAAATAAGAGCGAGAGAAGAGGTGACAGCTGTTTTCCGGCAGGGGCAGGGCTAAACATTAACAAGATGGAAAGGTGCTTCTGCAAACCTAGGCTGGGTCTCAACCCAGGAAGCCTCCCGGACTCAGGAAAAAAAAGAGAAAGAAGAGCCTATTAAAAGTGCAATGTGCTAGAAAGCTAATGCAGCCACCATGAACCAACCTAGGAAGACCAGATTGTTTAATCGCTGGCTTGGAGATAAACCGGGAGCAATTAGGTCCATCCTGAAATAAACTTCAGACAGATTTTTTAAAAAGTATTTATTTTCAAAGAATATTTAATAATATGTGAAAGTTCAATCAGTATAATTTTAACTGAAAAGGTAAGTTATAAAACTGTAAATACTATCCAAATTCAGAAAAAAAAAAAAGTTTAAAAAAATGTGAAAGGCCGGGCGCAGTGGCTCACATCTATAATACCAGCACTTTGGGAGGTCAAGGTGGGTGGATCACGAGGTCAGGAGTCCAAGACCAGCCTGGCCAAGATGGTGAAACCTTGTCTCTACTAAAAACACACACACAAAAAATAGCTGGGCATGGTGGCACGTGCCTGTAATCCCAGCTACTCAGGAGGCTGAGGCAGGAGAATTGCCTGAACCCAGGAGGCGGAGGTTGTGGTGAGCCAAGATCGCGCCATTGTACTCCAGCCTGGGTAACAAGAGCGAAACTCCATCTCAAAAAAAATAAAAAAAAGTAGCGGGCATGGTGGCAGGTGCCTGTAATCCCAGCTACTCAGGAGGCTGAGGCAGGAGAATTGCTTGAACCCTGGGGAGGTGGAAGTTGCCATGAGCATGCCACTGCACTCTAGCCTGGGCGACAGAGTGAGACTCTGTCTCAAAAACAAAAACAACAAACAAACAAACAAAAATGTTAAAATGTACTAGAAAAAAGTATACCCAGAATGGTAAGAATAATAGATGTTTTCATTTTCTATAATTTTACATATATTCCAAAATTTCTAAAATGTACATCCCATTATTCTTTGCCTTTACAATATACATATGA